TCTACAAAACTCAAGAATCGTGCAAGGCAGTTCACGAAGAACTTAATCCTAAGCCAACTTCGAAAGATCTACACGATTCAAATACAAAAGGACAGYAAGCAATCTTCGAAAATCCACATTATTCCAACGACAGTAACTACAAAACAGTTCGAAAAACAACTACCCGGGACAAACATGGCCATGGGAATGGAGGGCGATTCTGCTGGGCCACTGTCCGGACCTCCAAAGCCAGACCTTCGCATGGAACATGTTCCACCTGGGACGACGAGCAATCCTGTGGGTCATCTGGTGGCAACGCTGTGCCCTGGCCATGGATAAGGTGATGGTGGATGGGAAAGAAAAAAAGGAATACCTCAAACAGCAGTTCCAATTGGAACTGTCTCGGCTGTGGGCAGCAACAAAACAGACATTAGACTCCCTTCATCAACCACAAGACATCGCATCAGGGATTAGGAAGTTTAGCCAGGAATGGTTGGGGGAGGGGTGGATCGCGGAGGTGGTTTGGTCCGGCCCTTGGGATACACAGCGCCAGCCGGAAAACGATCCGGCCAGAGCAAGGCCTCACCGGGACTACCGCCTGGTGTTTAAGGACTGGACCGCGATCAGCCCGGATATCCCTCTACGCCCGGCAGAAGACTTCGCAGATCCATTCCCACCCCATCATCAAGCAATAGAAGAATGGGTGGGATAGTCCATTTTTTATTCTTTCTCTTCAGATTGAAATCAGAACACTATGCAATCCAACTTTCGGCTCTTGTCCGAACAGGTCAGTCATCTTTGACAGGCAGGAGCCGGGGAACGGCGGGAGTACCCACTGGTTCCCCCTGGTGATTCTCCCCTCGGCCCCCGGCGGTGCGGCAGGAAGAGGCAGGACGATAATGATTTGGTACGGGACGCTAGACCCGGTTTCCAGCTCTGAGGCATCACTAGCAACATGGACAGCGGAGGGAGTTAGCAGAGACAGTGGACATCTGGCGCCAAAAGTAGGGTGAAGAGGCTCCCCCCCTGCTCAGTCAATCCCCTGCTCTCCAGGGCAATCAATGCTGACAGGTCCTGCTTGCGGACTTTCTAAGACATTCTGGATCATTGTATCATAATCACAAGGGACGCTGGACCCGTTTTCCAGCAGGTGATGCTCCCCACCAATAGATGGAGCCTATCCCCTGGTACTAGCAGTGTCTGCTCTTACCAGCACTGCTAGCACTGGAGGGACAGTTTAAGGTAAACAAAACAAAACAAAAAAAACAAAAAAACAAAAAAAAAAGACAGCTCTAAATTCCATAGGGTTTCGGAGCTTAGAGCAGCCACGTATAGAAGGTCCACTTCCCCGGACGACGTTCCCACCGCCACAAGCGAGTCTCCCACGCCCACTAATGGTGCCGCCACCCCAAAGAACTTTGGAGCTTCATCAATCCAACCACGAACTCATAACTTCAACAGATTAATTTCCCGGATATTACCGTAGATAATTCAGTGRTAAATTATGCGCAGGAGTTACCAAAATACCAGGGGTCGAGCACTGAACACTCCCCGTACCACTCAAGGCTTGGGTGACCCTATAACACTATTTCCTGGGCTTACAGGACGACCACTTTTATGAGAGCAACTACGATATCTCCCTACACTATTCAAATACAGAAAACGACCAAAAAAAAAACAAAAAAAAAAAACACAAGCAGATCAAAAATTAACTACGTAGGCAACTCTAAATTCCGTAAGGTTCGGAACTTAGGGCAACCACGTAAGGAAGGACCGAATCCCCAGGCAACGTTCCCACCGCCACTAGTGAGTCTCCCACGCTCACTAATGGTGCCGCCACTCCGAAGGACTTCGAAGCTTCACAGACCCAGCAAGGATCTCGTCCCTTTATCATAATGATTTCCCAAATACTAATTTCAGTGGTAAATTATGCACAGGAATTCCCAAAATATCCGAGGGTCGAGCGCCRAACACTCCCCGTACCACTCAAGGCTTGGGTGACCCAACAACACTATTTCCTGGGCTTAAAAACAACCGCTTTTACAGAATAAACTACGATGGGTCCTAATAGACAAGATACCCTAAAAAATTGCCAACAACAGAAAAAGTCTCAAGAACTTACCCCATATAGAAACCCAACAAACTTCGAAGAGTATATTAATTTCCCCAAAACTGCCGTAGGTATTTTATCGGTGAATTATGCACAGGAATTTCCACGATAACCAAGGGTCGAGCATAGAACACTCCCCGTGCCACTCAAGGCTTGGGTGACCCACAGAGCTATTTCCTGGGCTTAAAGAGCAACCACTTTTACGAAATAAACTACGATAAGTTTTAATAGGCAGACTGCACTGAAAATTCCACCAACAACAGGAACAATCCGGGGGGCTTCACATATACGCCCAAACAGACTTCAATAAAACTACACAATACAACATCAACAACAAAAGCAATTCCAAACTTCAACTACGTCACCAAATCTAAACTCCGTAGGGCTACAAGGCCCAGCAGGGAACTCGTGTCTACAACATATTAATTCCCGGAGACTGCTGAAGATGTATACCTCATGAGCAACGGGAACCCTGAACCTGAAGCAGATAAACAACATACTGTCATGCAACGAAGATGATCAATCGAAACTTGCTGCCGCCCTTCAGTAGCCGGAACGCTGCCACCGCGGCCGCACGCTCTCCCACTGCGTCCAGATACGCCGCTCCACTTTTAGTGAACAAGGCAGTCAAACTAACGTGTCATGCAGCGCGCGGTCAATAGATATTGAAAAAGGAACCCCCCCTGGTTGAGGGGAAGGCGTTTCCTCCGATATCAAGGTCTTATAGGTGTGTAGGTTGGTATGAGGATCGAGAGAGGAGCTGTCAGGATGTCATGGCGTAAGAGTGCAAAGGCACTCCCTACCCACTCAAGGGTTAGGCTACGCCAGGGCACTGTCGCCATAGCTCTCACACAGCTATGGTGCCTGGCAGGGTAGGTGTCGCGTAAGAATGGTCACACACGAAGCTCATGCGCCACACCTACACAGCCGCGACTAACTATGACCGGGCGCCGCCACCGCCGCTGCCGCAGCTGCGTTAGTGCACACTCGCGCGGCCTCCCCCCAGGCTGAACAACTTTTGCCTCAGGGTTACATCGACATTCTTTACCAAATTTTAAATAAAAATAATTTTTATTTTATTTTTTTGTTTTTTTTTTTGGCCCGGGCGGGCAAGTGGTCCCACACCACTCTGGTAGCCTAGATGGGAAGGGACATACAGGTAACAGTGTGGGGACTCGTTAGGGCTGCCCAGAAACTTGCAGAGGCCCTGTTTCTAGCAGGCGATTAATAGGAGTAATGATGGTGCCAGACCGAATGTAGTTTTGTATGAGGTTAGGTACGTATGGTTCCCAAGGGAGAGAGTACGTCTGCTATGATTTCCCTTTCTATGGAGGGCTGGTAGGCCTCAAGGCAAAGCAGGTAGGGCCTCGAGCCAGAGCAAAGAAAGAAATTGAAATTGGCCATTGGACCTACCAGTCCAACCAGTTTATCATTTGATGAGTCGGTTGAGTTACCCTACCCACTTCCTGGAAAGTGATTCTGCGGCCCAACCCCGAGGGTGAACAGCGGAGCAGCTGTAGCTTCGAGATGACCTCACTGGCTATGGAGGTGGACTAGGAGGTTGAAGAAAACGCGGGTTGGCTATGGAGATGGGCATGCCCACATTGGCCGTGTAGAGGAAGAGGAGGACTTTGGTTGACCACGAGAGGAAAGAAGAAGAAGAGGGGGATTGAAATGAACATTTACGTTTGGCTATGGTGGACTACCAACTTCACCGCCATGCCATGTAAGGTGCTATGTCAAGAAGACCCTTTTGGGGTTCTTTTGTGTGAAGAGTTCACCCTAGTGTGTGGTGATGATGCCTTCAGGAAGAGAGGGAGGAGTCCTTTTGTGTTGTCGTCTGCACATCTGCATATGAAGAATTGTCTGGTAAACTATCTTTGGAAAAGGGGGAAGAGGACAAGGAAACAAAGTAAGGGGTTGTGAGGGACTGTAATGCAATTGTTACAAAAGTAAGGGATAGGGGAAGGGTAGCAGCTGTATCTCACTGGTTGTACACTACCTGATTTTCAAGGTTATTGCATGCCTGGACAAGCCTTGCAATTTCCTTCTCTTCTGCATGCGTAGGAGCTGTGTTCCCATTTGAGAGAGGCGGAGGAAGGATATCTCCACCACCCGCATCAGTATTTGGGTGTACATTTCCAATTTTGGATGTGCCCTGATTCGGCAGCGTGGTGCCAACTGATAAAGCGACCCCTTTCATCGCCAGTAGCTTCTTTGATATGGCCAGCGACTTCCGATAGCACTTCATCAGGTTTACCCTATTCTTCTCCCTCAGCCGCAACTTGTCACAATGAAGAAGGCTCTGCTTCAGTCGCGACTGTTGTGCAGTGGATTGGTGATCAGTCAAACGATGGCATCTTGGTCATTACAATGTCATATTTTCTATTCACTAGGACATCCTTCTGATGACACATGGGAGCTGAAAACACATCCGAAGTTTAAAATTCCATTTGTAGAACATAGATTTCGAATCAACATACAGTAAGATACTCTTTTTCTTCTACAATTATGTGTGTACAACATCGATTTTTTTTATCACAGATTCAAAACACGGTAAGATATTGTTTCTGCTCAAGTCTTTGACATGGAAGCTGAGATTCTGAATGTGTCCGTTGGACCTTGCTCCCGTTCTCTGAGGCTTAGAAAGTCCGATGGACCGTATGAAATTGACTGTTATACTATCTTTAACGGTTGGAACTCAATTCCTTCTAACAAGTTCCAACCCAAATTCGAATCCAAGTTCCAATCCAAGTTCCAATCCAAGTTCCAATCCAAGTTCCAATCCAAGTTCCAATCCCGGTACTGTGTGAATTTGGTATGGGGCGTTGGGCCCGGTTCCCATCACGTGCTGCTCCCCACGAATATATCAGAGCCTGGCTTGAAAAAAAAAAAAAAAAAAAAAGAGGTTCCAACCCAAGTTCCAACCCGAGTTCCAGATGTTATGGCCACGGTATTGTATCCAAGTTGTGATTTTCTACCGTTTTCAGTTTTTCACCATTAGAAATTGACAAATTGTGCTTCTCATACTTCCTCGGGCTTTTGGCTAAAAACAGATCAAGTGTAGTATCTGTTCTGATCAGTTTAATATCTGATCCATGGTCCATCGGGATTTAAAATTTAAAAAAAAAAAAAAAACTGTGCTTCTTTCGGGGGGGAAGTTTGAACGTTGAACTTGCTGAAATTTGTAGAAGTGGAGTGGTAAGCCAGATTTGCCTTGTATCTCTGTGATGATAAATAAAATCAGGGAAGCCCATAGCCCATACAATCTACTGGCTTTCATTCTGACGTGGCAGTAAATTTTTTTTTTTTTGGAGGTCAGCGCCTGCCCTTGAGCTCAGGTCTCTCTCTCTCTCTCTCTCTCTCTCTCTCTCTCTCTCTCTCTCTCTCTCTCTCTCTCTCTCTCTCTCTCTCT